GAACGATGTATGCACGGTGTGCACACGGTATTTTTGTGCGATGTGCGATCACACAACTGTGACATAAAATCTCTTTATTCAATTATCTATGTAAGGGAATAAAACGGTAGTATATACCTCCACATATACCGCACGTTTTACGACACTTAGTAGTAGCTAGTTGGGCCATCAGACCACTGGAGTGGACACAGAGGTTGTACGTAGCGTCGAAACTCTTACAGTTGAACGTAGCATCCTCGATATCGAAACAGGACGCCGCTGAATAAATGATGGAGATAACTCAAAATGTATGTGAGTACTGCCACATTAGGAAAGCACTTGCTAAATGATACAGCTTGATAGCAGTGGTGGTAAGTCTTTACTATATTATACGACCTGTTTAACTAATGATAAAGTTCTCTATTAACGATGCATACAATTGTATTGAATATGTTAGAATAATCCATTTTATTAGTCATAAATAATTAAGACCATGTTTGCTGTAATATTTAATGTGAATTGCCCTGCTTTATTGAACAATATACAAGCCAAAATAGGACAGAAGTATTGTTATTTAATGTAATCAGTAATGTATGTAAAAACAAATTCTGATATGATTAATACCAACATGAGAATGAAAAGTTACTCTAACAAAATTAATGAATACCTTTTGGAGGGTTTGAAATGAAGTCAACAAATCTACAAACATCAAGGACAAATGAAGAGAGTTTTTAATTAAGTAATTTTGCTTTATCAGTTAGTTACCTGTGGTTCCAGCCGTATGACCCAACGTCGGCGGAGGGGTTGATACTAGGATAAAAACACAAAAAGACCATAGCGATAATATTGTATAATGATACAAAGATTCTTAACTAAAGCCAACAGCAATAAGATAATTCTTGAATTCAGACTTGACGACTTTTGGATTACACAGGATCCATTCATACTGTTGAACAAGAGTGAAAGAATAATTAATTCAAATTTCAAGATTTTTCAGAATTTTGACAGGTTATATAATGCAGTGATTCCATAACGACTTAAGTTCCAGAAACGCCTATTTTTTTTATCAAAAACATGCAGAAAGAAAGATGAACGAAACACATTAACATGTGATTACACTACACCTTTTAAATTTGGTAACAGATATAACAAGCCAAAAACGAACTACGCTGCATCATAGAGCTGTTTCGTTCTACTAGAATTTATCAGTAAAGCTTGGAGCCAAAACGTTGGAAATCCAATAGTCTTTAGTGCCGTTGAAACAAAAGGACAGTGCGTAAAACCCCTTATTATGAATTTTAAAACTGAGAGGAGTACTGGTTTATTTCAAATTAATGAACAACGACATTATATAAATAATTTTTAAACGATAGGATAGAAAAACATGCAGATGCATCTTGATTAAATTATATAAGTGATATATTTTTCAGTTTAGAAATATTGTATAAATGTACCATCATGTGCTCCCAGCGCATCCAAAATGCATGTACTTGCATTTCTGTGACAACAGAAACTACACTGCAGTGTTGGTTGAAAAGCGAAGGGAATGGGATGAACATTGCACAGTACACTGTTTGTCGTCTCTGCCATATGACAAGCCTGTATAAACAAGTATTGAAGTAATCAGTTCATCACATAAAGAAACCGGAACCGGAAACTGATATAAGAATACTTCATAAAAAATCAATGAGATCCGAAACGAAAATAATTACATTTTAAAACAATTGCGACTGTAAAATAAATATCTTGTCAGCAAGATGTCATTTTTACCTTCTGTTGTAATGATGTAACAATTGGAGCATTTAAACATGCTATGAATCAAGTGAAACGTTTATTTACGTGTATGATCTGATTATGATGATGTCGCCCAAGACATCTTGTTTGCGTCGTATTGTGGGCATTTGTTCTTTTCAAGGCGAAATTTTATGGAATCTAAATTACTTAATGCTTCTTTAGGTAAAAGACAATTATCACCTACTGTTGGATGTGAATTACAGCCAGATGAAATTCCTCCGTTGTTGTGTGTTATCATGCAACCCTTGATTAACGAAAAAATTACAATAATGTTCGTTTTTGTTTTTTCACAACTACAAATTAAATCGTTATATCAAACAGAATAGTTCAATATGATTTGCTAGCCTCTAAGATCACAGAATAATATTTGTGTAAGCAAATCAGTTGTGGCATGTCAACGCAGAGGAAACTGGTATGTTACTACCGAAGAACAAAGAACACCTTATTATTTAAAAAAAATAAAAGTCATGTTTGTCAAAGTTTTGTAAAGTTATAATACTGTAGAAGATAAAAACTAAAAAAATGAAGATTAATTTTTCTTTGCTAACAACTTATACATTATGAATAAAAATCTTTGCTACTCTGAAAACTGGATATTTACATCCAATATTTGTATGAGGTAACTAACTTTATGCATAGGGAATAGAAAGACACCTTGAATCAAATAACCATTGGAAACACAATAAAACTCTGCATACTTTACCTTGCTGCGATAAGAACATTTACCCTGATGGGCCAAACATGAATTTGGATTTTGAGTCTTCTGACAAGTCGGACAGGTGTAACTCACTACAAATACATAAACAATTATGAAGAACTGGAGTGTGGCCCATTGAGAGTAATATAAATTACTAAGGTATCAGTCCAAACTGTATTGCAATATTATCACCTTAAGTTATATTGATTTTTCTAAATGGTATTTGCCGGTCAACTATATAAATAAGACAAAATATGTTACTTTGACAAGGGAAAGCTTGACACATTTAATTGACATAAACGAAACTGAAATGCTGTAAATTGCGCATGTTACTTATAAATGGATACTTTTATTTTTGTGAAACTAAGGAAATTTATTGTCCAATTTTAAATGAACTACGAAAAACTTAAGCCTTCTTACACACAAAACTTAAAGAATAGCAATATATATCTTCGAAATGAGGTACTTGCAAAAAGGTTGCTCTGGTTTGGTTTTGCTATCAATGTAGTAATAAAGAACTCATCACATCCGTATTTTTATGATGTATGAAGTAATTTGTTTGAGATGACGCTCAATTTTTCACATACACGTTTTGCAATTAATTCATCAATATGCTTTATCTTCCAATATTTAACCATTTAGATATTACTATTGAAAATCATCCAACGATATCAGTTAAAACGGGATTCGATTGCAATCTTTCAGTTATGCTATAAAAATCGGGTAATGGTGAACACCACATCCAATAAACCACCGGACGTTTCTACTTACTAGAGTGCATGTTCCGGAAGGCGTAGTCAGTGCAATTCTTGTCCTTACAACATATACTGTCACCAACTCTCTCGTGGTACTCACAGTCATTAATCTGAAAAAGGTTGAAATATGCTACCTTACATATTAACCTTAGAGAACGGCTATATCCTATATCCTTTTACGCTCAAATGTTTATTTGAATTAAAATTCCATAGAACCCATTATGTACAGAATATCGAGTTATGCTTTATTCGATTATGTAGTTATAAAATTGTGTGATTTTATTTCTGTAAGCAAATATGGCGTGGTCTAAAATGTCTTTCTCTACTTGTATCTTGACGAGATTATATATAAAAAATAACATATGAACTCTTTCATGAAAAATATGACACTTTAAAAACCGATTTCCATGAAAAAATATAACCGTATGCATAACAGTGGCCACAATTGTATACCCGAAAGAAAATATAGCACTGCATACCGAACACGGTGAAACACACAAACTGTTATGCAAAGAGAAAACAAGAAAAAAATCGAAGCATAACATTTCAATAGTAAAAGCTTAAACTCGATAACACTAAGGCAGAATATAACCAAAGAACATATTTACACATTTGAAAAAGCACAAGAACAAATTGAGAAAAACATTCCGGAAGGGTAAGCGTCGTTTGTTTTATCGACAGAACCAGTCAAGCAGTGATTATGTATAATATAAATCTAATCGATAATTACCTCAGCACAGCCCGTCTGAAGTTTGCCTGCAATAACCTGAAGCATACATCCTTCGTTCGCTTTACACATGGCATTCCTCTGGCAGTCTGCAGTGAAATCATCGGCGCATACAGGGCAGTAGAGCGGTGTCGGTGTTGTTATCTGGACCGTTGGTGCTTTTGTTGTCACCGGAACAGTTGCATGTGCGGCGGTCGTAGGAGCTTGTGTCACGGGAGCTTGTGTCAC